GCAGTCATTTTTACTGCTTTGGGCAATATAGGTATATACTAAGTTTCAGTCTTTCTAGTGTTAATCTGCAAATATTAAATTGTATAACGTCCTTTGCGATTTTGTTATTACAATAATTGGTTCTTAAGATGCATTAATTTTATATGAATGATCTGAATGTTTATGTAAATTTTGGCAAGTTTAACTTATGTCGACAATAACTTGATATTTCGTATTTACCCGACGACATGTTTGATAACGATTTAACTTATGTACGTATTTGCCTTCAGATTTTTCCTTGAATGAGACCCGCTAATTAATTCCTTGTAGTTACAGTTTCAACTGATTTGGTCAGACATTTTACAAAATAACATAATATAATATGTGTTTGTAGTAAGTAAATGGATTAATTTGTACTAAACGCTGTAAATGTAGGTTTAAGAATTTTCTATCATTGTACATTTTATATTTGATTAGCAAAATTTTGATTTCTGATGACAGAAAGCATGGGAATATTTAATTATCTTCTAATTTTGGCAGAGATCTTACGGCTCACACTAGCTTAAATAATATGTGTAGTTCGATCAATGATATGATCTTATACGGGGAAGCAACATTCCCGAAGGTATAAAATAGGAAACGTCGGTTTTCTTTTATTTTTCGCAAGAAATTCTCACGAACCGATCATCAATTGCACGGCTACGTTTCTGCTTTCGGTCACGTAGGCACAGGCTGCCTCACCATTGCGCTGGATATCGCAAACACAGGCCTGGCAATATCGATTGGATCATTAAGATTGTCTGCAGGTGTTCTATATTTATCCCAGGAATGTTGTAATCGAGCACACGCGACGATTTTCCGCAGATTACTTAAGACATTTTCTCCCTATCTAGTAAGGTCCATCGATCACCGGGTCCAAAAACGGACGTAGAATATTTTCGGAGGAAAATAAAAAGAGCACGAGGATCTGCGGGTTATTCTTGGCACGCATTGATAAAAACCGCAAAGGCACCTGCAGCCTCGGACAATACCGGCGCGCGTATGGAGGTCGATGCAACGGAGAAGGGAACTGCATCGATCGACGATAAATTATATGGCCGCTCGAGGCAGCGACGCGGCGTCAACCTGACCGACAATGACCGCCGTGCATTGAATGCAATTAACGTGCCTCTCCCACCGTTTCTTTCCATTCCGCGTAAATTGCATGCCCGATCTCGCGCTTCTGTTTCACCGCTATCTCTCGGCACAGATATTCTCCCCGTTCTCGCTTATCGGAGATCAAACCGAAGGTCCTTCGTACCTGCTGCTCGTTCGTCTTGATCCTGTCACGCGACAAGATAGTGCGACGTTGAATCTCTCTTCGTTCTCGATTATTCTTTCACTCCTCGAATGGTTGTCAGCCAGCGTGCGCCGCAGCGGTAATCGAGAACAGCGAAATTTCTTGAAGCTTGTCTACGACTTTTAATCGCGGCCTTCGAAACACCACGTGTATCCTCTCATTTGCAAGTTTGCAATTCATCCATGTTTACCTTCTACAAGACTGATCGCTAGACTGTGCATTTTTATGCAAAACAGAACGTTTATGATAGTAATTTATAAAATGTGTATAGAAATGACTTTCACTACTTCGATATTGTAATATGTGATATTTTATTTGATATTTTATTTATTTCACATTTATTACTATATAACATTTATTTTTTATATTTTGTACTGATTAATTTTCTTGATAAATGCATAGTCTCCTTTCTAGTCGTATCCCCTTAGTGGAAGAGAACCATTGAATCCTTTGATA